ATATATATATATATATATATATATATATATAAGCTGTCCAATCCATATGACTTTTTTAAATCTGCAGAAATGTAAGATAAACTCAGACTGAACTTGACTCAACTTCATTTTTATCACATCGCTGTCATCTGTTGACCCTCATACCATAAGATGATTACATCTCTACCATGTGGCTTTAATAATCCTGGAATATCAGCTCAGATGGACAGTCTGTGTCATCTTTATTACCATAAATAACATTTTACTAACATTTTGGGCGTATAATATTAAAGTGGCTGTCCAGTGCAGCCAAATGCATTATTTCTGGTCCCAGAGCAGTGATGTTTGTATAAATAACATTCCAATGTGCTCTCTTCCAAAGTCAATAAGTGCAGAGAAGTGCCTGAACCTCGTGATAAAAAAAAAAAAAAAAGGCAAAACATGTGGTCCTTCTCCACCTTTGATTTTATCATGTTAAGCTTCACCAGCGGCTTCTCTAATCGAGTTGAAGTTGCTCCTTTAGCTCCGCAGAAGGGATTTTGCTTGAAAATGCCATTAAACCAAACCTTTGCATGTATTCAATATCAAATAAATAGATTAACAATGTAACTGAGATCCTTGTTTCACTGAGGAGACAATTTAAAAATGTATTCTAATAGTACTTCACCAAAAAATGATGTAGGCACCATTTAATATTAGGAATAGCATTAGTTTACTCTTCAGTAGACATTTCTGTGGTTTATTGTACTTTATCTGATCTTAATACAACTCGGAGGTGCATCAAAATACAAGCTGCTGGTTTTTAGTTTGATGCGTTTAATGAATAGATCACAGGTTTTTATTTAATCTATCAGTGATCAGCCTGAGCCCATCAAGGAAAAACTGGCTAATTCATGGCTGGTGCAGTGGATATAACCCAAACTTGGTTATATCCAGCGTAATGGTTTAACATTTAAGAATACGTAAGCTGGTAAAAATATTAACTTCAGGTTAAAACGACGTAAGTAGTTCAGATTTTTAACTTCAAATTAGAAGCTATCAACTGAATTCAGTTATTTACAGATATGTATTTTTTTCATCATGTTTACAAACCCCTTGTCTTCTCTGTCACTTTGTCGCCTCTTCTTGGTTCTATTGGGTTCACAAGACTCTAACTCTAACCCTGGAAATGATTTAAATATGGATTCATACCATTTTTGCCCAACCTTTTGGAATCATGGTCACTGACCGTAAGTGATTCCTTAACCCAAGGGAGACCTGCGGTGCTAACTACTCTTGTTAAGGTCCACCTCTGTTCCAAGTTTTCTCCATTTGCAGATAAAAGTCTTTGCTGTGGTGTCCACGAGTCCCCATGTGATTTAAAGCTGCAGTACATAACTTTTATTTTAAAAAAATATGTTTTTTTTTACATATTTGTTAAAACCTTCGCCATGTTGTGGCAGTATGTGACAGATAGTCTGTGAAAAGATCCAACTCCTCCACCTCCTCCCTGAGATATTATTGCCGTCTGAAGAAATGCACCACTCCCCACCAAAAACAACCAACCAGACCCAGGAGGTCATAATGCTGTCAGTCATCCTCGTGAACATGTTGCTAAATGTGCTGATAATCTAGGAACAACTCACTATCACAGGAAAACCATTTATCTGCCATCATGCTGGCATGGCCTCCCCCTCAGCATGATACTGCCACCAAAATACTTGAGGGTCAGTACAGTGCGATGTTGAAAAACCTCGTTCTTCTTCTTCTCACTGTGGCCAGACGGCTCCGTCTTTGTCTTGTCCGAATATTAAACTTTTACATTTTAAAATCCTTTGCTTTAATTATTCTACAGAAGTATAATTTCTGCTTCGAAATCCACAAGAGCCGTGCTTCTTATTTACAAGAGGAGAATTCTTCAGGGCTTCGGTCCACATCTGTTTTCAAGTCTATCTCCACAATTAATTACACACTGGTTACAAGTATGCAGCAAACCATCCACAAGGAAACAAGCAGAACCTTTTCCAAAACTTTTTTTTTTTTGCCCCCCAACCAAAAAAACAAAAAACAAACAAAAAAAAAAGACAGCCAAACAAAACACTAAATTAAATTTTTTTTCAGCCTGAAATGTTTTTGGAGAGCGTTTGTTTCATATGTAGGCATTTGCATTCTTCTTCTGCATTTTGCTGTGTCTTTTGTGTTCATTTCTTGTGAGCTCTATTAGTCGTAATGTGCTTTTAACATTCTTCTGCGCCCTTCAAATTACTACTTCTTTCAGGAAGAGTTTATTTCATGGAAGTGACTGTTCTTTGGGCATCGCTTCTTGCAAACACCTCTCCAGCCGGCCGTGCGCACCGAATGCCACAGAGCTGCTTTTATATCCCGACACAGGAACGAAACGCCAAATGCAACATTTCCAAGCATGCAAAGAGCAGCCTGCAGCCAGCACTCCAGCAGCAGAGGCACTCTTTCATAGTGATATCCCTTTGTCCATAACTTCTACAGTCGTTATAAAGAAATTTAAACCAAGTATCTATAAAGACAAACATAACTCATGCAGAAAGACTTAGGAATCCATGTAAACTCAATGAAACTGCTTTGATGTGGCAGTTTAGAGACGAGACCATGACTTAAGAAATATGCTGCGGAAGAGCTGCAGTCATTTATTAAATGCTTTTGTCTTCCTCTGGAGCGTTTCCTCAATCGTCCTGTGTGGAAATGAAGACTGGGGAGAGGTTGCAGTGGACTTAGTTCCTCCTCCGAATAAGAAAACCAAAAACCAGATACTTAGTCAAACAGAGCAGCCCAGACTTTGTGTATGTGCCAAGCGGAGATATTTATCCTCAACTGAGCAACATAAACGTCATAAAAGCAGAGACTGATGGCTTTTCTGGTTTCCTTACACTTGAATTGTACTAAGGTTGTCAAACAAGTGGAATTATCTCTGATGCACTTGAAAAGTTTTCTTACAGAAAAAAAAACAATCATTTTCAGCAACTGTTGGGCGCAGATTTCCTCAGATTAGTGATGCATAAATCTGAAAAGGTCTACTTGTCTCCCCAGCTGTCAAGCTGAAGTCCATTTGTTTTTCATTTCTGCAGGTAAAGGGAGCTCAAGCATCTCCTCTGACATAAGCTCAAGCACCGATCACACACCAACTAAGGCTCTGAAGAATGTGGCTACCACTGAAGGTAAGGCATCTGGTGCTCATTAACCAAACTGCCCTCCCTTTTTCCTCCTCTTCTTCTCTCTCCTCCTCCTCGCGCGCTGCCTTTTTTGGGACAGAAACCTGTGTGTTCCCTGGTTCCAGCTCCCATCAGAACCAAGAAAATGTTTCAGAAGATGGAGGAAAAAAATACACACACTTCTGGCTCCTCATAGTGAAAGAATGCTTATCTAAACTGAGGTTGTATCAGGCTCAAAGTGCTGCCCAGCAGGGCGGGAGGGAGGGAGGCGCACGGTTGCAGGAGAGGTTTTCTCTTTGTTGTTGTAAAGATGAAGACAGTCTAGAGAGTAAATATGAGGTTGAGGAACTTAAACTTCACTCGGTTAGGTCTCTGGTTCCCTCTTTTCTCTTCATAATTTTCTGTTTGCTTACCCCAACAAAATGCCAAACCACAGATTGCCTTGGAAAAGAATTAAAACCCCTTAATCTTTTGCAAGTCTTGTTGCGTTACAACCACAAAATTCAGTTTTTTTTTTTTTTTTTGGTGGTGCATATTTGTGAACAGCTTCCTCAAAGCATGGCGCTACCACCACTGTGTTTCACAAAAGCTAAGGTATGTGTTCAGGGTGATTTACAATTTTTAACCACACATTTGATCCCTTGTTTTTACTCTCAGAGTAAAAAGTTGTGCCCTGCTACTGACGAAATATCTTCTGCTCCTGTTTGAATCCTGGGTTCTGGTGTTCATACTTTCTCTTTTAGTGGGTAAAAGCCGACGCCCTCAGCAGAGCAGCGATGCCAAAGTCACACTGCTGATGGGCAAAGTCACCGATTCAGTCCCAAGAGTATAAAAACGTTTTTTGAGCAGTGATATCTTAACCTGTTCTTACATTGAGCATGTTTGCTCTTCTTTTACATAGACAAAATTCCCACCACCATTTTATTTGGTGGAGTCAGATTAAAGGGGGCAGAACACAATGTTGGCAACACTTTTCAGTTTTTCTTTTTTTTTTTTTTGAGTTTTGTAAAATAAAGTTTTCTTTCCACTTCACTAAAGTCCTTTTCTATTTGTAGGTTGGTTGTAAATGTACATTTACAACCAACATTATCTATTCCTTACTGCATTCACTACAGATACATCTGTGCTGTGTCAAATATTATAGAATATTTGCTGTAAAGGCTCCTTTACTTTCAATTTTCATTCATGAAGATAAAATTGATTTTCATTCTGGACAGTTGTATGGCAAAACGACACCTGCTCAAAGTTATGACTTTATCCCTTCCTCCTTTGTGTTTCCTTGTGTGTTAATGTTTTCTAATACATCTCTGAGGTTACGTGGATGAATTGTAATTCGGGGAACTGAAGTAAACAAGGATGGATCAAATCTTTTGGGATTTTTGCTTGTAAAAAAATTTTGATCCTAACTCATAATCTTTGTTTGTATACCACATAAATCCTTAAACATTTGCGGTTTTAACTTGACAAACTGTGAAAAAAATTCAGTTTATTTGTAACAAACATGTCATTAGGAGGCATTAAGTTTCAAAACTCAAAGTCGCTGATCGGTTCTGATTGAAAGCTTGGTGCAGTTTCTTCCGGCTGAGCCGTGACTCATTGCCTGTTTTGCTCCCTTCGTGCTCATACAGAGAGCGCACTCACCCGGCTGCTGTCAGCCATTGTCGTCACCAATCTCAAATTTGCTCTGGCAATGGTGAACGTAATATTCCTGTGGTTTGGCGCTGCCCACTCAAAAACAAATAGGAGCTAGAGCCTATGTTTATAACCGCCGCTCGGCAGAAAGACACAAGGTGTTTGTCAGGGAGCAGAAGTTACGGACCGAAGAGGAAGAAAATCCCTGGCAAACGCACGACGCGTTGGCTGTTTTGAGTTTTACGCTAGATGTGAGAGGCTAATTCACCCGTTTAACCTTTACGATTCAGAGCGAGCAGAATCCGATTATTGCCGCGGGTCCGGCTCGTCTGGAAGCGCTGACTCATTCGGATCTTTCCACCTTAAAGGAGCTTCAGGAAACAGTTGTATAATTGTCCCGAATATGTCTCCTCTGAGCACAACCTGTGCAGATACGGGCTGAGTGAGTAACAGACCGTAGACAACTACGTCCAAACCATAATTCTCAACTGTGTTTTGAGTGAAATTGTTATTTTTTTCTCCATGCTAAGTGGGAGTAATTACATGGTCTACAACCGCCACAGCCACAGTCAAATCCCCCCTCCTTAGAAAGACACGCACACACCGAGCGCACACAGGCCGTGCAGACCCCTGTACGGATACTCGCTTGCAGTGGCAGATCAGGCAGCTCTGGCCCACACAGTCCTGTGGTCCACTAAACTAATCAGGAAGCAGTCTGGGCTGTTTCCCCACCGCACACTGGGAGTATTCATACCGTCCCAGAGCTGTTCTACGGCCGCCGCTGCTCTGATTCGGTTTGCTTTTTTTTTTTTTTTTATCTCAGCATCAAGCATCACGATTTAATGAGACTCTTTTTTTTTTTCTGCTGCCACTGTATTTAACTGAACTGGAACCACACATGTCAGGCGTCTCAGAAACAAGTGATTCTAAAATATTCCGTTAAAGCAAACAAATCAGTAATCCGATAAAGAGAAACATTTCTAATTTCTCCAGCTCAAGCTGGCGCTGCTACAGCTACAGCCACAGGTTTTTTGTTTATTGGCCAGCAGGCATAGACTGGTTTCTGATTCATGATAAACAACTCTGTTTTAAACATTTGCAAAAATTTTTCTGCAGTGTAAAATGTTTTACCGGCATCACAGAGTGTGCAGGTTTTTCTCTGCTAGTGCAACACATGGAAGAGAACTTCCTTGACCCATTGCATGCAATGCAAGCCATCAGTCATCTGTGTATGTGTGGAGTGGCATCCTGGTATTCGTGGGGGTTGGGGGCAACAGCTGTCCTTGAACAGTTAACATCCACAAATATTTGAGACCCTCTTTAAAAACACTTATAACCGTCTATTTTAATAGTTCACTCACTAAATATTCCCAAATATGCATTATTTAGCATAGCACTTAGAGCCACATGTATCTTTAGTAAAAGTCACACAGCTTTGCATGTTTTTGGTGATGCTAACAGAACTTAACAGATTTTTATAACTAAATCTTTGTTAAAGCTACATGCTTTCCTGCAGAATCTCCGCTTGAGGTAAAACATTTGTTGCTAACAAGAAAAAGAAAGAGGGACACAATCAGAAATGTAAAGTGGTATTTTGACTGAGAATGAAAACATCCAACACCAGATGTAGTAGCAGTTTGTTTTTGCACTGGCATTTGTCCAGGACGTACTTTGCTTCTATTTTAATTCTAGTTTTTGTTTTCTCACTTGGACACCATGCTGTTTAAGCTCAAAATTACCACTAGCAAAATATTACACCAGTTTGTGCCTGTCGGCCAAAAACTGCCAATATTTTTTTAAAATCACAAATTTATTCCTTGGAACCGCGTTGCAGTTCTTTTGGAGACATATTCACATTCCACTAGATATTCATTGACATTTTGAGAATATTACGATTCTGTGTGGTGAGGGGAAGCAGACTTGGACTTGTGGTGTCTATTTTGTGAAGTTTATCTAATTACCGAGTGAAATAGCAGTCTGGTATTAACAGCGTGCGGCCACAAGTAATCCTAGAAGTTCAAATTCAATTTTACCTTCTTCAATATATTAGTAATTTTCTTTGCCTTTAGAGGATATAGTTTTAGTTGCCACTGTGTCTAGGACTCCAACCAGAGGCGCTGTTAGAGAGAGCATCAGTTTTCATTTTTCTGTTAAAAATAATCTATTCCATGACAATAATTTGAAGGAAAGATTTTCTTTAAGACTCAACAAAAACCACAGTGCTAAGTTATAGGCCTGCGTTAATATCAGTCAGGTAATGAGAACCAGGGCACTGCCTGTTGTCTTTCACCAATCCTGCATGCATTCCCAGAAAATCAGCATGAGGAAGCTGCACTCACTCTTCTGTTGAAAACAAACCGTGTCGGGCCGGGAGCTGTGCAATTCTGCTTTCAGTTATTATTTAGGCAAGTTTGTGGTAGCCTGACCTAGTTTAGCTTTCTATTAGCTGCAGACTCAACAGGCGCAGTGCTGGACAGTAAATCCCTCCTTTGGGATGAAATTGAGTATTTCTCAGCAGGGGTTACACTTAGACCCTAGCTGGGCCTCCGGGATTTGTCCAAGTCGGGGTACCTGAGGAATGCGGCCCAGACAAAGTGGGAGCCCGACAGGAGGCTGTGTGGTTTGACATTTGTAGGCGGTTTTGTGTCAGCTGGAGATTTTGTTTAAATTTCAAACACTGATGTAACACAGACCCGGTGTGGGTGTTGGGCACCTCAGAGGAGAAGTTCGAGGTCAGTTTCTTCAACTGTCTGTTGTGGCACCAGGAAGGTGGGAAGCAGAGGGAACAATGAACAGGCCCACTTCCTCTCTGGAGTCAAGGACCAAAGAAGCAGTGATAACGGCGACACGGAAAAGCTTCCCTACAACCCCGACCGAGCCATACGGGTCTGCACAGACTTAGATAGAGTAGAGGTCAGATGTTTACATACGCTCGTCCGTTGAGCTTGTTTTGTCTTTGTTTTGGTCCAGGAGAATCAATAATGCAACAAATAACTTTGATTCATTTTTAAACAGTATTTGAATGCACAGGTTTTAATTTATTGTGGATGTTATGAATTTTTAACCCTTTCATGCATAGCGGTCGCTACAGTGGGCAGCTGTCTAAAAGCCATTTTCTTGTGCTTCTTGTGGATTTTTATGTTATAAATGCACACAGATCACTGAAGTGGACACTGATGCGTCATATCAACTACTGGCCATCAGCTGCAAATGCAAGAAATGATTTTTGTTAAATCCAATATGGCCGACAGATAAAAAAAGCATGCCGACCGACCCGGTCCCTCCTTCTACTGTAGACGACTCTTGCAGGTAAAAAAAAAAATATTGTGACATCAGGTAACCCCTAAAGAACAATACCGCTGATGTATGTTTCA